GGGAGTGCCGCGGCGATTAAAAAAATTGCGTAAGCATAAAATTAAGGCGTCGGTGGAAAGGTTCTCTGCCAATTCTATATGCGCAGCTTGGACTGTCAGGCACGTGAATATAACGCTCCACCTCTTCTCGCGACGTCTACCGATGGAAACATTAAATGGCCCGAACAGATCTACACCCGTGAAAGTTAACGGATGCACAAACAAAGTAATGCGGTCGACGGGTAGCTGACCCATCATTGGTGGACTGTGCTGGGCTCTATCTATTTTGCATACGAGACACTTACGTTGTATTGCTTTTAGAAAGTGTTTTGAGGCCCGGAATCCCATATTTTTGGCGAACCGCGTTGATTGTTATCGCGGAATTTCGGTGGTGGCTCTCCTCGTGGCAGTTCTATACTATTAGGTCTACGAAATGTGATTTCGCGGCAACAAAATTCGTCCACGTGCTTGAAATGGCAAATATGATGCCTCGCCGCGATGCGGCCGCTTAGTCGTAGTATGCCATCCTGGTCTAAATATGGCGAGTTTATACAGCGAGGTTTGCTTTGCTAACTTCGGCGACTCTGTCAGTTCTGCTGTTTCGTTCGGGAAACATTCTTGCTGTACGGTTCGATTAATGATATATTCGGCCCTTTCTAACTTTGCTGATGTGAGACTTGATGGTTGTTGGGTCTTTGCGTGTAGTTTCGGATGGAATAGACTTGCTGCTCTTATAACCCAGGTAGGCTGAACGAGAAGTAGGATATCGGACTTCACTTCCTCTGGCAGAATGGATGCTGCTATTGTTGTCATACTTCGACATATTTGAGAAACGCGTGGCTACATCTTCGGGATTGTGACTAGTCGGTACCCAGCGCCACTGTTCCTGGGCTGTCGTGCTGAAGATCTCTGCAATCCGTTGAGCAACGGCTCTATACCTCCTCTTTGACCAATTCAGCCATTGCAACACCCTTTGGGAGTCGCTCCAAAAAATTACCCTCACAGATGTAAATTCAAGGCAGTCGAGAATCAATTTGGCTAGTCGTGCACCCAATACCGCTGCCTGTAGTTCTAGCCTCGGGACGGATAGTAGTTTCGCTGGTGCCGTGTGCGTTTTCCCTTACATATCCAGCTGCTGCGAACGCTACTTGACTTGCGTCAACGCAGATGTGTAGCTCCACTCGCCCACCATCGAAAATATATGGAGAATAACAACGCTGCATCTTGAAATGCTGAACATTGTCGAACTCTTGTCCTCCTTGTAGTTCCTGCGGCAAAACGTCATCCCAACCGATTCCATGTTTCCACGTCTCCTGAATTAAAATTTTAGTACAAACTAAATAGTCTGCAAATATACCGAACGGGTCAAAAACTGCCATTACGATTCACACGGCGCGCATGTTACGTCAAGTACGTACTTTCATACGAATATTGACAATCTCGCCACAGAACTTTATGGCTTGCTATGGTGTGTCAAAACTGGCCACTAAGTCATCAACGTTGTGCTAAGTGATAATTGCTGAAGTGGCATCAGGAAACTGAGCTCGGAAATCGTCGGCATTTTTATTTTTAACGTGCTCTGCTGTGCATGGTGAACACATAGCACCAAATATTAACGATGTCATCGCGTATTCCTCAACCGGTTGATTTGATTTGCGAAGACATTTCGCGTATGTCGGCTGACAGTCCGATTCGCCCCTGGCGAATCTGTAATAATATCCGTATTAACGGCTGCGCTTGTTCTGGCCCCTTTAGAAGAACTGAGTTCAGCGATACATTGTCTACCATGGCTGCGGCATCAAAAGCGATTCGCACTTTATCAGGCTTTTGGAGGTTAAGGACGTCGAAATGGGTCATACGTATTTGTCTACGTATTTTGCCATCTCGGGCCTATATCGCTTACCAAACTCTACATTGCATTTCATCTGTCGCTCAACAGACATCAGACGCTTTTCTGCCATCGCCCTGCTACTAGGTAGATTGGTTGGATACCCTTTCCACAGTAGACCGCATTCGAACTGGTCGTCGACTCGTCTGGTGGTCTGCTCCAGAATTAAGCGCGCTCGTTCGTCTCTTCGGTTGCGAAACACTCCTCGACAAAGTTTTGTAGCTGTTGGTACCCTTTGATGAGCATAAATCGAGGACTTACAGCCAACGGCGACTTAGTAGGGCCATACGCGGCCCATCCTAATGGAGTTTTAATTGCTATTGGACTAACGATGGAAGCTTGCACAGCTGTAGACGTGGCACCCAAATAAGTGTGTTTCAGTCCAATCAACAAAACCGGTTTCGCAGCGTGGTAATTTATGAGCGGCAAATATTTCAAGTGTTCGAAGCCCTCCTTCTGCAAAGACGGCTCAGGCAAATTTAGTTCTTTCACAGTAAATACATCTTTCAATTAAAATTTGGTCATATCTAGGCGATTTTCGATTTCAATGTTTAGTTTCAATTCTTGTTCGGTAACTACTTTGTCATCGTACCACTGAAGCGTTATCGGACGTGCTTTACCTTGGCGCCGATTTGTTTAGCGACCTTTTCTCCCATTATCGATATTGATGAACCTTTATCAAACATCGCTAACACTTCTCGCCCGAACAGTTGACCGCACCTGCTTTGTGTTAAGCGACGGTTTAATATGGGCTGCGCTGTCTCCTTTGTTTGTGTAGCTTTAAGTACCGGTTGATTTTTTGCTTCTTTACCATGTAGTAACGGATTGTGGTACCGTTGACAGCCATTTACATTGCACCTTTTCCACGATCGATATTTTAAAGTACATTGTCTTTTACGCAAGCACGAGAACCAAAGTTAGAGAGTTTTCACCAGATCCCATCGGTCTTGCACACTCATCTTCTTAAACTGTTCATATTGGAAAACTGTATGATTGCCGCTGCACTTATAGCACTCTATCGCACGTTCTATATGCATTAACCGCCGAGGGTTAGCTGTCGGCGCATTTACCCTTGTACTCGATATGCTTGCTGTAGGCATTAAGCAAGCTATTCGGGCCAACTACCAACAAAATTACAGATGTTGATATATGCAAACGGATAGGAAATAGTACGGGGTGGCTCACAGTCTGCATTTTTCCAAATGCCTAATGTTTGCTGACGACGTTCAAATCTTTAAAAAAGTGTCGAATCCTAATGACTGTGAAAGTTTTCAACAAGATTTATACTCACTCTTAAAGTGGTGCCAAATGTATAACTTGCATTAATATAAGCAAATGTTTAGCGTTTTAGATTGGAATCTTTGGATCTTGTCAATGTTAATGACTGTATCATATATAAGTACTTTATAATCTAGTTTCAGTTTTGATTTACTGTATATAAGCCAGCTGACTTTAGCTTCGTTTGTGTAATCTTGGTTGATATCTGTTTGCGCCAAGTTAGTCTCCTATCCAAGTGTATTCCGAGATATGTCACCTCATTGGCTTGAGGAATATGGACATTATTTAATTTGATTGGGGGCCTACTTGCGGTCTGAGTGAAAATGTTGTATGTTTACACTCCTGTTCGTTGACTTTTATGCGCCAGTTTGAATTTCGCAACGTTCCGAGTAAATAAAAAAAGATTTTACGTACTTTTCAAAGGCAGTTAAAAAATGCGTATAATTTTCGTCACGAAAGTGATATCATAAATTTTGTGTTTCTAGTTCAGCTTTCGTCACTCGAAAATTTTACCTCAAAGAGGTGTTTTATTTGATATCAATTATTTTGGGGTAGCAAATTTAAAATCGACGAAAATACAAACAATAAACTAAATGCTTTATTTTTCTCAAATAAATTGCTAAAAATATTCTCTAAATCTAAATTATGTATTCAAATCGATTTGTCCATTGAAACACATAGTTTTTCGAATACGGAATAAAGCGAAAAAGAATGATCAAGGATATGATGATATCAAGGATGATATTAGCACAGCTGCATCCTTCAACTTGTGAACTCGTGGGAAATTCCTAGATTTGCAGGGAATTTTGGGTATGTTATTTTTATATCTTAAAGTAACCAAATTAGACTGATGTGTTAATTTTTAACCATTTGACCCTTTTTGGAGCGACATTTTTTCAATTTGAATAGCAATATCTCCACAACAAGAGTTTTCCCAGATATAAGCTGTATATCAGATGAAAGCTAAGTTTTTGGGCTGGACTTGGGAAACCTAGAATAAAATCGACTGGCCAGTTTTTGAGAAAATGCCCGAAATGTATATTTTCAGCAGCCCGATTTTTAGTTTTCAGGCGATAACATTATGACATATTTATATTTTATAAACACAAAAGATAGCGTTAGATAGCTTGTTTGAAGACCCTTCTACTGATATCTACATCAATGACATGGATTGAGCGGCCTCAGTGGCAGTTTATAAAATTGCCTTTTTTCGAATTTCAGGCAGCAGCCACGCCCACACAGGTATACGAATCAAAACATCGTGGAACAAAACCTTCTTAGTTTTTATTGTACTTTAATTCCTGAAAATTTGAAAAAAATTAAATAAAGGTGTTCAAGTGAGTGACTAGCGCACGCACCCCGCATTAACCATTCGTATTTATTGAAGTATCTAGACTTGAATTATTTCTATGAAATGTAACTTTTTTGAACTAATAATTAGCTCGCAACGGGAACACCCCTATCAGCCAACCGGGTAGTTGGCAACGCGTGCGCTACTCGCTCACTTGAACGATCACCAGCTGTCAAAGCAACATATGTATACACACATATATATCTTCTCTTGTCGAAAAACCACACGATTGAACTGTGGCACTTGTTTTGATATTGTACTTAAAGTGAAAATTTTGTACCGCGAATAGAATTAAAGGCATATAAGCGTGTGCGTTCGTCATTTAAATTGAAAGCTGAAGTGTTTTTATTTAACAAATCTCCCGGTCACGCGATTTGCAGTGACAGAGTAGCATCATTTTGTTCTAGCAGCCGCCGGGTTTTTGCGCCACCGCCAGCAACTAGCCGACGCCGTTCAACCCCAACGGATAACCTTCAGCGTTGCCCTGCAAAGGCCAACCCATCGCCTCCGGTTGACCACCCCACCTAGCCTCAAATCCTAGAGATCCACCGTTCCGCTGCCCACAACTAACGCAGGCCCCCAAGCCCTGCGATTTGGTCCTTCGTCGCCTCCTTTTGACACCAGCCCGCAACAGTCCAGGCGGATCATCATCATCACCCATATAAGTACTCAAAGCCCAAATAAAGCCGTAAGTAAGAAACGAATT